AGGCCCCGTCCACACCGCGCCGGAGAGATTTGAAAACGGAGTTTTCCTTTTAAAACGGATCAAATGTTTTCTGCCCACACTAAGCCAGAAAAATTTGAAAAAGCAACAATCAGCGGCAGGAAAGGTCATTTTAGCAGAAATCACAGGTCGTCACAATCACGTCGTTGGTTTCAAAAAGCTCCGTTTTCAAACTGTTTCCTTCCACATTAAAACGCAAAGCCGGTGTTTTTGAAATTCCTGCGGTTTGAAGAGCGTTTTCGAAAAGCTCCGTTTTCGGTGACAAGTTATTGTGGATCACCTGAGAGTGGAAGGTAGGTCTAACCGTAGAAATAAAGCTGCGTTTTCAGATTTCTCCGGCGTAGTGTGGACGGGGGATCACGGGGCCTAATTCAAAGGCTGATAAACAGAGGAAAAGTGCTATTTAAAATTGAGACTTTTTGGGAGGGAATTAGAGAAATGCCGCGAATGAGGTTTGTCGACCAGGGAATAGGTACTAGTAGACCCCAAAGGACACTGGGATACCCACATGTAGTGTCTGTCATCCATATTTTTCCTTCGCTTCTGTATTTTTCTCTTGCAAACTTTTTAATTTCTTTATTTCTGGCCTAACTAACCTTGGAATGGACATGACGTCGATGAATAACGGTGGAACAATTCCCATGCGAGATGCAGATGCAATCAAGCTGTTCATAGGGCAGGTCCCGAGAACGTGGGATGACAAAGACCTGAGGCCCTATTTTGAAAGCTACGGACAAATTCACGAGCTGACGGTTTTGCGAGACCGATTGACGAGAAGTCACAAAGGTAATTTCAGCGGCATAATCCTTGAAGGTTTTTTTTTTTAGCAGCCTCTAATGTTTTGTCCTATTTTTAGGCTGTGCATTTCTTACTTTCTGCTCACGCGACGCAGCTCTCGCGGCTCAAAAGGACTTACACGAGAAGAAAACCCTACCAGGGGTAAGTTACTAATTTATAGTAAAGTTTTCGTTGTAAAATGCCCACAAAATGTACATTAACCATTCAATGTCACAGACTTTGTTTTATAATGGAAATGACCTTCGAGGCTAATAACGGGATTCAGTCGTTGGAAGTGGTTTTTTACCGAGCTTTAACACAGACCTCATTTGAAGACCTGTCTTCAAAGTTTCCGCTTGGGTTGCTATTGACGGCCGAGAAACCACGTTTCTTTGCGGTGGTTTTCGTCTAGAAGTCCAATGTTGTGTCTACAATCGTAGTAATAGCTCGACAACGTTTGATCTGCTTATGTTAAACGAATCGAGAATATTTTATGTATCCTGTGGACTTCAATCCAAGCGGCGATAAGGATCGCCAAATATCAGTCTGTTTACCCACGAAATCGTGGATGTATTCTAGTACTTCCTGATGCTTGTTTATTAGTAGAACAAAATTTGAATAATGTTGTATTGGACTCTTTTCTTGATACTTTCTATCCAATTGGTTCAAGATTAGTTGTATTAACAGGGATGGAATTTTGCAGGTCATAAAAGTTGAGGAAAAGTACTATTAATTACATTGTAAGACTTTTTTGACTTTAGATAAAGTAACTTAACCTGCATTTCAGAATTGATAAACAACTGGTTCTCCCCCATTAGGAAAACCTGCGGGCTGTCCATGTCTTAAACTGTGGTGAATTTTCATCATTAACTCTCAATTGTTAAAAAACTAAATGTTTCTTAGTTCAACTTTTTTTAAAGTTTCAGTCATGTGGAAGCAGGTGTGAAATAAAACCTATTAATATGTACCACACAAGTGAATAGTGCTTTTTAGGCATTCTGATTGGTTAACTCACAGGTGATTAGCAAAGTACTATTCATCTCTGAGCAGCATGGCACACTGAATTTTGAAATTGATGACCATTTACCAGTTGTTTTGGTCCGCTAGCCGTTCAGCTCGTGTGGAATATACTAACACAATTATTCACCTCAGTGTCAGTGAAAGTGGTGGATATTTACTTGGTGAATAATTGCTCATTGAAAAGGCTCAGTTGCAAGGAAGCATCTGTGCCGTAATAATAACCTTTATTGAAAATAGTACTTCTAAGGCACACAATAACAAGCAAAAGGCTCAAGGTTCTATATACCCATGCTTAGTTTTTTTTATCTCTTGTCTTTTACTCTTATTGCATTGTAAATTACTTTTCACACTCCACTTACTTTTCAAAGTGTCACCAATCTTACAGATGCTGACATATTATTCAAACACCACTCTGTAAAATGGACAGGGTGGAAGAGGCTGGTTGAAAGAAAGGCCATGAAACATCCTCCATGTTCTGAAGAAAGGCTTCTGTTATGAATTGTACGATAGATCAGGTATCTCATGTTTCGTTTTTCTTTTTGTTACAGATGCAGAATGCAATGCAAGTGAAACCAGCAGAGAGTGAATCTAGATCAGGTAAGTTGAGAGTTTTTTCGGCAGTAATGTGTAAGTACTGAATAAATCTGGCAAATTTGTCTGGTAGCATGTCCTAACTGAAATGATTCTTGTAACCTCTTGCAAAGAACATTTAAACTACTTCAAATATGCTGATGGATTTATACTGTGCCATAAATAATACATCCAATCTGAATACAGGAAAGCAGTTGCATACTTGACAGTGTTACACCCAGCCCTCCAATCATGTGCTGCACATATGTTGCATTAATTATGTTGGTCACTGCAACAGTGATGGCATTCAGATTGAAAATTCAACATCATTCTTCTACCCTTGGATAATCGTCTGCTCAAGTGGGGATGTATTGATTTATTTTTCTTTTCAATTGGCTAGTGTACAGATCTAACTTCTCCTTGATCTAAAATGTATTTTGGGACTCATTGTTATGCATTGTCCCCTTATTTGAAGAGATGTAAGATTCCTCCCTACCTTCTAGGCATTGCATGGTGTTTAATGTCAACTGTTTGTCCATGGATGGTTTTGTTGAAGTTTCAAATTGACTACACACAAGAAGTTATAAACACTAAAGAACTAAACTTTAGATACTTTATAAGGGGTTGCAATACAGCTTTCAATGTTAACTTTTGGAAAAGGAACAAGGTGTCACACACAATCTTGCTGCCAGGCAGCAAATTATCAGCTGACTTGTTGTTGTAAATTTTATTTTTCAAATCACGACAAGTGTATGATGTGACATCACCATTAGGGTCGAAAAGTTCTGGTGAGTTAAATTTGTTTTAAACTGGAAACTATCTTTGGATTGGGTAATTGAAGTGCAAAATTTTCAGGTACAGCAGGTCTTTAATGTCTTCACTTATTTAAAGATATCTAAGAGAAAGCTAAATCTTAGCCAAAAACTAACAGTCAATAAACTCTGAGTTTCTAAGAATGTTCAAAATCTTATTTCTCATAACAAAATTAATACATCATTCAGTAGATTGGTGATGAGAATTACAGCATTCATCAATCAGAGCATATAATCTGTGTCTCATCACTAACAGTGTATTAACAATTTGAGCTTGTCACATCAACTTAGCTTATATTTAACTTCTATACCATTAATATCTCATTTTGTTGTTGTTGTTTTACAGAGGACCGTAAACTGTTCATTGGTATGATATCGAAAAAAGCAACAGAGGAAGACCTTAGAATAATGTTCTCACCATATGGAAGTATAGAAGAATTGACAATTTTAAGAGATAGCGATGGCAAAAGTAAAGGTTTGTGACACATGCTGTTAGAGACTGTTTTTTGTAGGAGACTGAGCAAATTTTTTTTCAAACAACATTGAAGACTAATAAGAAGTATGCTGAAACTGTCATGATTTGTTTAGGTTGTGCCTTTTTAAAGTTTCCAACCAGAATGCAGGCTCAAAATGCAATTGCAGATATGCACAACAGTACTACAATGGAGGTCAGTTTTATAAACTTAGTATTTTCTGATTCTGTTGAATGCTTTGGTAATTACTAGACAACTGACTTAGTAAGTGTTTTGAAATGCATCAGTTGGTGTGATTAAGCAGAAGTTTCTTAGGATGCTCACTTTGAGAGATCTCTGATGTTTGACTCCACAAGGTTTATATTGACTATGAAACTCTGAATTCCTTGCATTCTCTTGAACTGGTCATTACTGCAGTGAACAAGAGTTCAAAACTGAGCAATAAGATGGTAATCTCCATGTTTTTGCACACCTTGTTTGTTGGTAGAACTAGATGATCAGTATATGATATTTTGGATCATATTTTCAGGTGAAATCTTGCCCATCCCTCAAGTGGGGGAAGAACTGATTGGACCAAACTTAACAAAACATAATTTCCACAGTAGAAATGGTTTGAACAACCATGAGGTTGCAGTGATTAGGAGAGCTTTAAATCATCACTCGATAACTGAGTTCATTTCAACATCAGGAAGAGTGCATACTCTTACGGTAGAATATGCATTGTGATAAACATTTACACTTTATCATACCGTCTCACTTCCTACTGTGTTATTGTTCTTAATACGGCCTTTCCATCTTTTTCAGGCATTTGTTCACTTGTCATGTTATCTATCCTTTCTGAAAATTGTGGCAAGTCAGTAGAATGTTGGTGTAGCAATGAGGCTGCCTATATACATTGGCCCAGGGAATAGATAACCCTCTCCTTCTTTTGGCCAGCTTCACTAGCTCTTAGTATTTACTTAAACTAAAATTCATTTGTTTCATTGCTTTTTCAGGGTTGCCCATCACCAATAGTTGTAAAGTTTGCAGATACAGAAAAAGAAAAGCTTCAAAAGAAAATGCAGCAAATGGTAGCTCTTGGTGGCATGGGCATGAACATCGGATTAGGAATGGGGTTTCCTTATTTCCAACATGCGAATTACAATGCAGCATGTCAGCAGGTGAGAAGGGTTTTTTTTTTTTCTATTATTTACAGGGTCCGAAATTGCACTTTCCTGGTTGCCAATGCGACTAAAAATTTTGCACTGGCAACCAGAATTTCACAACTGGTTGCCAGCGGGCGATTAACTATTTCAAGCCAGGATAATTACACAAACTTTGATTTTCAGCCAAATCTATTAAAATAAAATTCAAAGCC